TTTTTTTTTTTTTTTTTAAGTTTAGATAAATATATAAAAAAAAATTAAAACAAAAAGTGCCTATTTTATTTATAAAAAAACACTTATAAGAAAAAAAAAGCATAATGTTTCTTGGATTCGACCTTTAAATTAAAAATCATTTGAATCAATTATAAATAACCAAATATAAAAATAATACAATTTATCGGTTTAAATGAAACGTCAAATTTAAATAAAACTATATCAATGTTTTACTGTTTGGTTTAACGTCTTTCTTAATGTATTAAGTATATTAACACAATGCAAAATCTAGTGACTATATTTACCCAATTATTATGCTGTGTTGTGTTTTTAAAAATCAATAAACTTTCCATTTTATTTTTCCTACTGTTTAACACCAATTATTAATAATATTGACGCCCCATTTTTGTTACATAAAAATAGTGCACCACTACTAATGTGTATACTTCTATTACAGGCACATATAACATTATAAAGTAGTTTAATATTTATTACTAGTAGTGCAACAAAAACTATATATATTACAAAAAAATCATATAAATAAATATATTATAGATTACATTTATGTCATAATAAAGTTTAAATTAACATTAATGTTAAACACTTATTAAGTAAAATAAAATATAAATATGGAAGTTTTATTATTATTTTTAACAGAAACCAAAAAATTGAATCAAACTACAAAATAGTAAATATTTTTTTTGGTTTTTTATTTATTTTTTATTTAGAGTGTGTATAGTAACATATGCAAGAAATTTATAAGCTCATTTAACTATAGTATGAAGGGTTATGGTTGGAATGAGTTAAGGGGTGCTCAAGTACTTTTATATAATTTTTATATTTACCTGTATCTATAAATGCATGCATAATGTACAAATTGTAATTTTTTTATTAAACTCAATTTGACCCCTCAGCGTAGACATCTCTTGAATTGTAAAACGTGAATGGGCATATTCGTGTTTTATTCATAATAACTTTTTTTACACTCTGATTGGATGACAGATGAAATAGGGGAGGAAATAAATGGAGAAAATAAGAGTAAAATTAAAGTGAATTAATATTGTTAGAAATGATAAAATTAGAAAGAAAAAAAAGTGAAAATAAATATTTTATTTTTAGCTATTTGATTCGAATGAAAAAAAAGAAGAAGAAGAAATTGACTAAATTAATAAAGACTCAATTTTACCCTTTTAATGTTATTATAATAGTAAAAGAGGGGAAAAACACGACTAAAAAGATAATTTTTTCTCCGTCATTGCTTCTTCTTCTTGTTTTTTTTTTCGTCTGCTTTTATTTTGAGAGTCCCGTTTCTGTTTCGGCCTTGTCCATGACGGGAAATATTATGAAGTCCATAGTAGTTCACAAATTGGGGAGAAATCAGTGCTTCAACTTTTGTGTGAGATGAAGCCATAAACAATTAAACATTCTCAAAATGGCACAACACATTTTATTTTTTTTTTGGCTTTTACGTAGCCAATTTCAATCCTATTTCATGCTGGTATAATATGGATCTCAAAACTCGTATATCCACTGAAATTCATTCCCCTTTTCACTCCTTTTCATTGCACACAAACAAGGGAAGATATACATCTATACTACCTTCCTTCCCTCGTTATTCTTATCTTTATTATTTCCCTTCAAATAAACAAACGCTTAACAAGAATCTACCAAATTATATAATAAAAAAATTAGAATAGATAGATTTATACCGATATAAATTAAAATTATTTTACTCTATTTGATTAAAAAAATATTAAATAATCATTTTACAAAAGTTATCATTAAATTGAATTTTTATTTTATATAAATTCAAAGTTTTCACAATAAATCTTTTTATTGATGTGCATCAAAATTAATATTATACACAATTTTAAAATATATAAAATAAAAAATATTAATTGTATTTTTATTGTTTTAAAATTTTTTATAAGATTTAACACAAATAATTTATATAAATAATTAATTTCATAGTTAAATTAACAAGAAATTATGTCATATAAAATTATTAATTTACGTGAAGGAACTTAAATTCTTGAAATCGGAACCTATAAATGGCTCCGACGTGTTTGGAATATGACAAATTATGTATACCATTCCATCATTGTCATTGATAGTTTTTCATTATTTAAACCAACATGACGTTTGGGAAATGGGAAACAACGGGGATTCATTTTCTTTTGTTTCTTATATTTAGACGCACATTAACGATTCCGCAACCGTAGTATATTTGTTGTAACACTGTTTTGTGGTGTTTAATTTTATATAATTAATTTTAAATTATTGTTAGTGTCTTGTTTGTGAATTCTAGAGTCAAAAGACTTTATGAATTAAGTTGTTTCTAAAGTAGTTGAATCAAAGTTAAGTTTGTTAAGTTCTAAGAACGGTATATAAGATTTTTCTTAAGATATGAACTTCCTAAGTTCATGTTTTAAGAAATTTTAGAGAAAAGTTCTCTGAATTTAAAATCATCTTCTTCCCCTATTTCCTACTAAAATCTTGTTTTCAATCCTTCCTACAACTGACTCAAGGTAGCTGAGCTAGGAGATCTAAACTTGTGGAGTAGAAGATATCGAGTAGGAGGTTTGCAGAGTCTTTTTCTTTCCCCTTCTCCTCTTCTTGGTTTGACCAACTAGAGATAGGGAAGCTTTGTTTTTGGTTCATGGATGGATTTCAGTGTTTATTGGCTGTTTACAATCATCACTTGTTGGTTGTTGAATGGATTCTTGTTGAGAAATTTAGTTGAGCTTATGAAAGTACTTTGAGGTGTAACATGGTGATTTTGATTTCTAATATATGCATGTTGATTTCGATAATGGAATTGTGTTTGTCATGTTGTACATAATTTGTATATGGTGTTGCATGTTGGAAGTTTTTGATTTTCAGGTAGATTTGAGAGATTCGAGTTTTTGCCAAGTGCAAAAACTGATATTATACCAGATGCGCCTTCATAGTGTTGGATGTGGCTTGAAGTCAGTGGTTCTCAGCCTCATTATGTTGAGTGTAGGATTGGTGGGTCAGGCATGAAGAGAAAAATTGTCTCTAACTTGGTCACATCAAAAGTGAGTTTAAATGGCATCAAACATTAGAAGAAAGAATTATCTCTACTTAGATTAACGTCAAGCATCAATGAAGTGGCATTGGGCTTGAGTTAGGTAGAGGCCCTCTGCTTGATTAGGGTTAGGCTTGGGGTTTTGCCATGCTAGGTGCGATAGAGTGGGATGTTCTCTGCCTTAACCATGTCAGGTGTGGGTAGTTTGGTATCAAGCATGGATGAGATAGGAAGTCCCCTATCTTAATGGCATTCGACACTTTGGGGATGACATTAAGCGCGAATTGCATAATTTCGATATGATGATTAAGTTTTTTTTTATGATTAAAAGATGATAAATTGTATGATGAAGGTGTAGATACAAGTCTTTATTAAGATACATAAAAATTAAAGGAGAGAAAAAATATTTTAGAGATTAAAATATCTCATTGTATGAATATAAGTTGTGATACTCCGAGAGTCTAATTGAGAAACTTTCAATAAGTAAGTTGGCTTATGAATAACTTGTTGTTTTTTTAAGTTGTTCCCTTTAGCTTTTATGTGATATTTGTATATGGGTAAAGTCAAGATATACATGTATTAAGCGATTAACTAAGAAAGGTACAAGGAAACTTAGTTCCTAACTGAATGCTAAAAGAATATAGTATTTTGAGGGTAGTTAATGGACTAATTTCATAGGCGACTTAGTGTTGCAAACCAATGTCGTAATAGACTCATATCCAAATTGTTCTACCCTAACTAAGTAGCAGATTTCCTAGTTTAAGTAGTGACACTTGAGAAATCAAATTAAGTTGTTAAACACTTCTTTGAAAGGCTTGAAATTGTTTATACTTGACTTGGTAACGATAGGTCAAACATTATAGTTCAATAGAATTTAGTCATTTAAACTGTTCACCTCTACTATAGGAAAATTTATTTAGTTGATATGTGTAACAACACATTAGTTGGTTATTGATGTTGATGTTCATGTTGAAAATGTAATGTGTGAAAGTGTTATATGTTGTATGACGTTGCAAGTTGTTGTGTGGTACTTGATGATAAACTGAAGTTGCATGTTGAATGAATGTTGTTGTTTAAGTTGTCTAAATTATTGCTTAATGTTGTTATTGTATTCTAATTCTATCCATAAGCTTTAACTTGTTTTTCTTGTGGTTGAAATTATAATCATTATATTTGGTATGGGAGCAGGACATGATTAGCAGGTTAACTTGGATGTTTGGTGGCAAGTCATACTAGTGTTGACTCTTTTGCTAATGCTACTCTGATGTAACATGGTCGTGTATAGGTGTTTGACGGGCGGGTAGAATTTATTTTTGTATACAATTATGCATTTGATGTGTGTGTGTCTATATATATATATATATATATATATATATATGTATGTATGTATGTATGTACGAGATATGTATATAGCCATATGCAAGGATTTATGATTTTAGTATTTTGTTTCTTATCCAATACATGTATTGATTACATGATTGTTGCACGAGAACCCTAGATTAGTTATTTGTTGTTCAATCTTTTCGTTGCATAGTGACTAAATTATAGTGAGTATAATAACTTATCGAATTGTTACACTTATTAAGAGTTTAAAAAAATAAAATGGGCCCTTAGTCCATGTATAAACATTTTTAGTTCTCTTTTGGGCTTTAAAGTTAAAAGGAAAAAAATTTAAAGCCACTACTAATGGATAACAATGACACATTGACACTAAAATATGA